CAAGAGAAATGGAAGAAACTATCTTCTGTACTTCTCCCTCAGAAGCATGAGTCTTCAGACCTTTCCGTACAGGTTGAACATCAGCTACATCCACTCTTCCAGTACTGACTTTGTTCAAGGCCTTTGAAAGTTCCTGTACATCTATCACAAGAAAAATATTGGTTTAGATACAAATTCGAAATCACAAATTTAAGCTACCATTCAAAAATTAGTATAAATGCTAGACACTATTAAAAGATGATACAGTATGATGCAATTTACATTAAGTACTTTCTTGATGTGTATAAATAAATTACATATGTATATGTGTATGAATGTATGTATACTTTCACTATTGCTTAAAATAGAAGATCAATTATAAGATAAACAGGAAGAATATATCTTGGCTAATAATTGGAAAGGAATGGCTTTTTTGTTTTTTTGTTTTTGGGGGTTTTCTTTTGTTGTTTTATTTAGGTCATGGATCTTGAACTCCGGACCTGAAGGCTGTTACTCAGCTCTTCAGCTCAAGGCTAGCACTCTACCACTTCAGCTACAGAGCCACTTCCGTTTTTCTGGTGGTTTAATAGAGATAAGAGTATCATAGACTTTCCTGCCAGAGCTGGATTTGAACCATAATCCTTAGATCTCAGCTTGCTGGGGAGCTAGGATTACAGGAGTGAGCTGCTGACATCCAGAAGTCTTTTCTCCCTGTCTCTCTCTCTCTCTCTCTCTCTCTCTCTCTTTCTTTTTTGTAGGTCCTGGGGCCTGAATGCTTGGCAAAGGCGCTATCCCTGAGCTCTTCAGCTCAAGGCTAGCACACTACCACTTGAGCCACAGTGCCACTTCCTGCTTTTTCTTATGTGGTACTGACCAATCAAACCCAGGGCCTCATGCATGCAAGGCAAACAGTCTACCACGGAGCCACCTTCCCAGCCCCAGTCTATTCTCTTTAAAGCCAGGCTTCTACAAACTCTCAGAACACATAGTATCAGTAAATTATTTCCCAGCATGCAACATGAATAACCACAGCCCACCTCCCAACAGAGTCTATCATTGCTAACTAAAACTTCAAGAGCCTCACCCTAACTGTCCATATTCTGCCTGCATTCTGGTCTTTAAATCGAGGCACACAATAATTAGCATGGAGCAGCAATAAGAAGTGAACCAGCAAGACATAGTTGCCAAGGATATGTCCCAGGGACCAATAATCTCCAACCAGGTCCTACCTTTCACAGTTCTATGGCCTCCTATAATTTATTCAAATTATGAAGGCTTCAATGAGTTAAATAATTCACCTGGGGCTCTATGCCACTGTCTTATGCCTATAAACCTAGCTACTCAGGTGGCTTGTATCTAAGGATCCTGGGTCAAATCCATCTCACACAGTAATATCTGTGGAACTCTTCTCTCCAACAAACCACTAGAAATCCAGAAGTGGTGCAGTGGCTCAAGTGGTAGAGCAATCCCCTTGCTGAAGACGGCAGGGACAGCACCCAAACCCAGAGTTCGAGCTCCACAGCTGACAACGAAAAAATCATTGGATTTAAAATATTAATGTTTAAACTATTATCCCTTCACAGGCTCACCTAGTCATGTGCCTCCATCTGATATCATATTTCTCAAATCAATCAAGTTGGCAATTCAGACATCCATCATCCCTCAACTGGACCTCAATATGATTACAACCTATAACAAATTCTCAGCTTCACAAAGGACATTCATTCTAGTTGCCAATCAAAAAGTGAAAATAAACACAGATTTATGTACAATAAGTGACTCAAAAGACAATGCTTACTATCAAGAGAAATGGAAGAAACTATCTTCTGTACTTCTCCCTCAGAAGCATGAGTCTTCAGGCTCTTCGGTACAGGTTGAACATCAGCTACATCCACTTTTCCAGTACTGAATTTTTTCAAGGCCTTTGAAAGTTCCTGTACATCTATAAAAAAAAATATTGGTTTAGATACAAATTCTAAATAACAAATTTAAGCTATCATTCAAAAATTAATATAAATACTTGACACTATTAAAAGATGATACAGCATGATGCAATTTACATTAAGTTCTTTCTTGATGTATATAAATAAATTATATGAGTATGTGTATGAATGTATGTATACTTTCACTGTAGCATATAAAATAGAAGATCAATTATAAGGCAAACAGGAAGAATATATCTTGGCTAATAATTGAAATTTAAGGTGTTTTTTTTTTTATGTTCTTGTGGGTTTTTTGGTTTTGTTTTTGTTGGTCATAGGGCTTGAACTCTGGACCTGAACGCTGTTCCTCAGCTCTTCAGCTCAAGGCTAGAGCTCTACCACTTCAGCTACAGAGCCATTTCCATTTTTCTGGTGCTTTAATAGAGATAAGAGTATCATAGACTTTCCTGCCCCTGCTGGATTTGAACCACAGTCCTCAGATCTGAGCCATCTGAGGAGCTAGGATTATAGGAGTGAGCTGCTGACATCCAGAAGTCTTCTCTCTCTCTCTCTCTCTCTCTCTCTCTCTCTCTCTTTCTTTTTTGTAGGTCCTGGGGCCTGAACGCTGGGCCTGGGCACTATCCCTGAGCTCTTCAGCTCAAGGCTAGCATTCTTCCACTTGAGCCACAGTGCCACTTCCTGCTTTTTCTAATGTGGTACTGACCAATCTAACCCAGGGCCTCATGCATGCAAGGCAAGCAGTCTACCACTGAGCCACCTTCCCAGCCCCAGTCTATTCTCTTTAAAGCCAATCTTCTACAAAGTCTCAGAACACAAAGTATCAGTAAATAATTTCCCAGCATGCAACATGAATAACCATAGCCCACCTCCCAACAGAGTCTGTCATTGCTAACTAAAACTTCAAGAGCCTCACCCTATCTACCTATATACTGCCAGCATTCTGGTCTTTAAATCGAGGCACACAATCATTAGCATGGAGTAGCAATAAGAAGCGAACCGGCAAGACATAGTAGCCAAGGATATGTCCCAGGGACCAATAATCTCCAACTAGGTCCTACCTTCCACAGTTCTATGGCCTCCTATAGTCTATTCAAAATTTGAACAATGAACTGGGGCTCTATGCGAGTGTCTTATGCCAATAAACCTAGTTACTCGGGAGGCTGATATCTAAGGATCATGGTTCAATTTCAGCCCGCTAGGGAACATCTGTGGAACTCTTCTTTTTTTGTTTTTTTTAAATTTAATTTAATTTTATTTGTGAACATACTGTTTAGAGGGGTTACAATTACATGGGCAGGATAATGCGTACATTTCTTACCAAGCATTGCAGCCTCCTCCTTTGGTTTACCCTTCACATCGCTTGCCCGCCTCCCCCCAAACCCCTAATTCCAATCCTTCTCCTTCCCCCCCATCCCTCTTCCCCCGCACCAACAATGTAAAGCTCCTTTTGGACATGACAACTTGTACTTCTCATTGTTGCAACAGGTCCACCTGTATCCTTAAACAACTGGTTTTTTCCCCATCTCCTCCACAAGTTATACTGACATCAAATATAGTGAAAGCAGGGGTTATACTGTGAGGGAGGGACATACAAAGCAACAAA